GGTGACGGGGCCCCCCCCCGGGACCCCCTGGAGGATGTGCCGGGCCCCGTGTTCCCCGATGCTCCGGTTGTCCCCCCGGTCCTTCTCCAGGAGCCCCTCGATGTACTCGATGATGCTGAGGGGGGGGGAGGCGGAAATGGGGTGTGGGACCCCCCTGGGACCCCAAATCCACCCCTGGGGGACCCCAAATCCATCACTGGGACACCCCAAACCCATCCTGGGACACCCCCAACCCACCCGGGGGGACCCCAAATTTACCCCTGGGGGACCCCAAATCCATCGCTGGGACACCCCCAACCCACCCCAGAACCCCAAACCCACCCTGGGACCCCAAACTCACCCTAGGGGACCCCAAAGCCATCCTGGGACACTCCCAACCCACCCTGGAGGACCCCAAATCCACCCCTGGGACACCCCAAGCCCACCCTAGGGAACCCCAAACTCACCCTAGGGGACCCCAAATTCACCCGGGGTCCCCAAATCCATCGCTGGGACACCCCCAACCCACTCCAGAACCCCAAACCCACCCTGGGACCCCAAATCCACCTCTGGGAGACCCCAAACGCATCCTAGGACCCCAAACCCACCCCTGGGGGACCCCAAAACCATCCTGGGACCCCAAACCTACCCCTGGGAGACCCTAAATCCACTCCTAGGAGACCCCAAACCCATCCTAGGACCCAAAATCCACCCTGGGGGACCCCAAACCCATCCGGGGACCCCAAACTCACCCCTCGGTGACCTCAAATCCATCCCTGAGAGGGACCCCAAATTCACCCAGGGACCCCAAATCCATTCCTGGGACACCCCCAACCCACCCGGGGGACCCCAAATCCATCCCTGGCATACCCCAATAACCCCCCCAGCACCCCAATACCCCCCTCACATCACTCCCAGCCCCCCAACTCGCCCCCCTAGACCCCACCAGTTGCACCCCCCAGTTTTTCCCCCCGTCCCCCGCCCGCAGACCCCCGTACCTCTCCGCTTGAGCTGCTGGGGGTGACCGCCGGGGGTCTCGACCTGGTGCGGAGAAGGCCGGAGCCGCTGGGCCTCGACGGGCCAATGTGACTGGCCGTGGGCCGGGCCCCAGCAGGACCCCAACCTCTGCCCCACGAACTCCTCCAGCGCCCCCAAATCCTCCGTGGGGCCCGAGCCCCCCGCCAGCTCCACCGCCAGGCTCAGGCAGCCCACCAGGGCGATGGCAGGAGCCCCCCGAACCTGGAGGGGGGTCACAACAGCCCCATCACCATCCTGGGGGGCTTGGGGGAGTCCCCTGAACCCCCATCACCATCCTGGGGGTCCTAACCCCCCCACCAGGGCGATGGGGGGGGTCACAACAGCCCCATCACCATCCTGGGGGTTTTGGGGGGGTCTCCTGAACAACCATCATTTGGGGGGTGTACACAACAGCCCATCACCATCCTGGGGGTCCTAAACACCCACTAGGGAGATGGGGGGGGTCACAACAGCCCCATCACCATCCTGGGGTTCTAAATCCCCCCCAGGGCGATGGCAGGAGCCCCCTGAACCTGGGGGGGGGTCACAACAGCCCCATCACCATCCTGGGGGGTTGGAGGGGTCCCTACAACCTGCCCCCAGGGGGATCTGGGGGGTCAGAGGAGGTCTCAGGAGTTTTCGGGGGGGTCTCCCCTCACCTCCATGTCCCGGATGGACCCCCAGGACTGGGGGGGGCAGTCAGTGGTGGGGGGTCGGACTGGGGGGGTCAAAGGTTGGGTGTATCAGGACAGGGGGGTTCGGGGGCTCAGGGGTTTTCGGGGGGTCTCCACCTCATCCATGTCCCAGATGGACCCTCCAGGGCTGGGGGGGGCGGTCAGTGGTTGGGGGGTCAGGACTGGGGGGGTCCGGGTTGGGGGACAGGACGGGGGTGGTTCAGGGTGTTCAGGGGTCTCAGGGGTTTTTTCTGGAGGGGGTGTCCCTCACCTCCATGTCCCAGATGGACCCGCCAGGACTGCGGGGGGGGCTGTAGTGGTTGGGAAGGGGGGTCAGTGCTTGGGGGGTCAGGAAACTGGGAGGCCTCAGGGGTTGGTGTATCAGGACGGGGTTCAAGGGTTCAACGGTTTTTGGGGGGGACTTCCCCTCACCTCCATGTCCGCGATGGACCCCCAGGGCTGGGGGTGTCAATGGTATGGGGGTCAGGACTGGGGGGGTCAGGGTTAGGGGATAGGAGACGGGGTGGGTTCAAGGGTGTTTCAGGGTTCAGGGGTTTATCGGGGGGGGGTCTCCCCTCACCTCCATGTCCCGGAATGGCCCCCAGGCCCGCTCACGTCCCCCACCGCTCATAGCGGAAGCTGCCCCGCAGCAGCCGCTGGTTCAGGACCTCGAGGGACCCGCGCTGGTACCGGAGCGACTCGAGCGCCATCGCGGGGACAACGCCGCCCCTTCCGGCCCCCCCGCGACGGGGAGGGGGGGTCACACCCACAGCACAACCCCCCCGGGATGGGGGACAACCCCTGGGAATGGGGGGATACCCCCAGGAATGAAGGGACAACCCCCGGGATGGGGGGACATCCCCCAGTGACACCACGTGGGGCCCGATCCTGAACCGACCCCCACCTCCCGCCCTTCCGCCCCCGCCCGAGCGGAGAGGGGGGTCAAGCCCCCAGCACAACCCCCCGGGATGGGGGACAACTCCCGGGAATGGAGGACATACCGCTGGGAATAGGGGGACACCCCTCGCAGTGACACACGTGGGGCCCGATCCTGAACCGAACCCCACCTCCCGCCCCTCCGGACGCCCCCCCCGGAGCGGAGAGGGGGGGTCCCACACCCCCAGCACAACCCCCCGGCATGGGGGACAACCGCCCGGGAATGGGGGGACATCCCCGGGAATGGGGGACACACCCGCAGTGACACCAGTGGGGCCCGATCCTGAACCCGACCCCCCCCCTCGCGCCGCCCCTTCCGGCCCCCCGTCAACGGAGGGGGGGTCCACACCCCCAGCAAATCCCCGGAATAGGGGACATCCCTGGGAATGGGGGGACAATCTCCGGGATAGGGGGGAAACCACAGGGGGCACCGATCCCGGGGCCTGCAACGCGGTCCAGGTTGGAAACCCGCCGCTTCCGCCCCGCCCCCGACGTCGGGATCACTGGTTTATACTGGGCTCACTAGGCCGTACTGGGGTCACTGGGCTGTACTGGGGTCACTGGGCTGTACTGGGCTCACTGGTCCATACTGGGCTCACTGGTCCGTACTGGGGTCACTGGGCTGTACTGTGGTCACTGGTTTATACTGGGGTCACTGGGCTGTACTGTGGTCACTGGTTTATACTGGGGTCACTGGTCCATACTGGGCTCACTGGTCCGTACTGGGCTCACTGGTTTACACCCACGATCCCGGGGGGGGTCCCTGGTCCATGTGGGGGTCCCACAGTGGCAGGAGGAGGATCCCAATCCAGGGGGGGCCCCATGGCGGGGTGGGGGATCCCTAAT